TGAAATTGAAACTTTCAATTAGTTTTATTTTAAATTAGTAAAGTCGACTAAAGACCAAACTCGGTCAAAGATGATTTAAAACATACGATATAAATGCAACTTTAATTTCAGTTATATTTAAAATACCAAAAATGTGCAAATGCTTTTAGAAGGATTTCGTTCAAATCATTCCAGTAAATGTCACGTTTCCAAAATATATTTGCAAATGGGTTCATTTTTATATATTATATAGAATAAATAAGAAAATGATATTTAAATTGTAATTATAGTTAGTTAGTTATTATAGTAGTCATTTAGATTTTTATTTCAATACAATAATAAAATATACTCGTGTGTTACTTTTAATTCTTAAATAATTCAACAAATTTTATTATAAGTTACAACTCAATAAATTTGATATTACCCCGTCGTGTATCCAATTAATTTGCATAAATGGTTCTTTTTAAAAATAAAATGATTTTGTTATAATATTTTCATGCTCATCTAACAAATTATTTCGTTTCATAATCGTATGTATCTGAAAAAAAAAAAATCGAAATAAATCAATTCTATTTCAGTATATATTAATAAATAATAATAATATTTGTCATTATATGATATTTCAATATAATTTAAAAAATATAAAAAATTATATAAGATTACAGTTAAAATTTTGAAAAGAGAATAAAAATATAACATACGTAAATATATTTTACATATATACGGTTATAATTTTCAAAAGAAGATCTTAAAATTCGTAGATAAACGGTATCCGAAAGTGTGACATATTATTTTAATTCATGACTTGACGAATTCATGAAAGGAAATCTCAACGCTTGACTGGGAACAATTAGAAAGACAGAATAGCTTAAATAACACTGTTACAAATGAATTCATTTCTTGTTCGCAAAGTCATCATTTCAATTTATTGCACACAGTGCGCTTTAATAATACAACCTAACAAATGAATTTATTCCTTCTATGGGAAATCATTATTATTCTCTCTCGTCGATTAAACATCGAGAAATTTTGGATTAACGAGTAAAACAATAAATCTTCTACTATCTTTCTCTCGGTTATCTATTTATTATTAAAAGAAAATAAATATATAATAATATATAGATATATATATATATATGTATTTTCTTTTAATTCGTTTAAAAATTTCATTTATACGATAGCCCCAAAACACGATGCCACTTAAATTAGTTAAAAGAACGTATCGGAAAACTTGTCGAAGAGTTGAACTAAATTACACGGTTTAAAACACTCCTTTGGGTTTACAAAGCTACATTAGGCGTAGTTTCTACATCGTGAAACTACGTGTGCCACGAGTACTGTCTAATAAACTTATGTTCTCTAGAGAATTTTCCTACATTTGGGACCTATTGAACTATTACAAACGAATAATAAATATTGATACGACTTTTTAACCTAATTTTATAAACTCGACTTAATATAAAAATAATATTATCAAATAAGTATCTCGAAGAAATCATCAACGGAACGAATATTTTTCTTCGAGAAAAACAAATTTCTTATTTATAAATATACATTTACTTTTAATTCCATTTTATTTTCTCTCTCTCTATTTTTTTTTCTTTACGTTCGTGTAAAATTAAGAAAAGATAATTAATACGAGTAAACGTTTATAAGAATTATTATTTATAAAATAAGATTTTTATATATTTACGAACAAAATATATTCCTTAATTTGTCTTAAAGAAGAAATAATAATAATAAAAAAAAAAAGAAAAAGAAACTATCGAGTAGCTTTATTAAAAAAAAAATTTCTTACCTAAAAATATACATTTACTTTTAATTCCATTTTATTTTCTCTCTCTCTCTATTTTTTTTTCTTTACGTTCGTGTGAAATAAAAAAAAGATAATTAATATAAGTAAACGTTTATAAGAATTATTACTTATAAAACAATATATTCCTTAATTTGTCTTGAAGAAATAAAAAAAAAAAAAGAAACTATCGAGTAGGTTTATTAGTCGTTAGAAAATTATGGATTTATACAATTTCGATAGGGGAATAGACATGAAAGGAAACAATAAAAGGAAGATAAGTAATAGGTCGAGAGAAAATACCAAGTCACTCTGGTAAAGGGGTATGGGGTGGTGGGGTTGGGCATGGGATGGGGTTGCGTTGTGGGGTGAGACGAGATCGAGAGAAGCAGTTTATATTCGAAGTTCGACAATAAAGCTAGCTTTTCTTTATAAGAGTATACCGTTGCATGTGTACTGAATGAAACGACAGTTCATAGTCGCCAATAAAAATGTAGTTATCCGAGTTGAAGCTTGACTCGAAATTGAAGAGTTTGTTATAAGTTAAAAAGAACCTTTTAAAAATGCATAGATTTCAACGTATATTAATACGAACAACAACAAAATGTCAGGTTATTTTTAATACGTGTGTACGTGTATGTGTGTGTTGAGATAGAGAGTTTTTCTCTTTTCCATTATTATTATTATTATTATTATTATTATACACGAAGAGTTTTACGAACGACGAAGCTTTAAAAAGGATAACAACCTATAGAATTATACCGAAGGAATTGAATTTCTTGGAAACTCGTTTATCGATGCTTTGATCGGATCTCGCGATTCGATTCTTCCTCGATTCGATAGAAAACAAAAAAAAAAGGAAAGAAAAAAAGCGAAGCTACAAATCGTACGTTTCAACGAATTAGTAGTTTGCTTATCCGACTTTTCTCGTTTTAGCACAGAAGGAAAGAGCAATAAGAATTCTTTTAGACTGAAATTCTTTGGTCGAAATTACTCTTACGATTCTTTGAGTACACGGATTTTAATCGAAAAATAAAATAACGTTATACGTATATATATATATATATATAGATATACATATGTATACATCTTATACTAACGTATGCATTATATATAATACATGTATACTTACATACTTATCAGTATATAGTTACACATGTAATACTTTTAACGTGTATACATTTAAAACGTCGTATCGTAACACGTATTTGTATCGTTTAACAGTAAGTTACTTCCTTTTCTACCGCAAATGTAATTAAAATTTTCACTTTACCTTATGTAGAGAAAAGGATAAAAGGAGAGAAAGCACGTGGGGGTGGTTGGTTGGTTAGGGGGTTGGTTGGTTGGTTGGTTCCATTGGCTTTTATAAATTTACATTTCCACGTAGAATCTACATCGAGTCTACTCTTCTACTCATAACGAAAGTAATTTTCTCCTCTGTCATCTGCGAATGTAATTATCCTCAAATTGCAACCGCGGTTCGCATTTATGAGACGCACGAAGTTGTGTAACTATCGGAGAAGCGTCGACACTTGAACACCGTTAAACTCGGGACAAACGGTTTTCATATAATCCTACAGACTTTGGATAATTTCTACGACTTGCATGCACGAAAGAGGTATACCTAGTACGTGTAACGACAACTCTAGATACGAAACGAAACGAAACCAAACGACAAGAGAACTTTTTTTCACTTATCGTTATTACCCTTAGGTAATAATATTCCTACTGGGTCGTAGTCGTAGTCGTAGTTGTCGTGTTTCGCAATAAAACGAGTCTCCCGATAGTTAACGTCAAATTTCGAAGACACGAACCGAAAAGTTTTCACTTCTTTTCTTTTATTTCCTACAACCACCACAACCCACACCCACCTCACACTACACCAGGCATCATTTAAACGATTTCTCATTTAGCATATTATTATATTCAATTAAATATTGTATTCGTTCAATCGTACCTTCTCGATAAATATAATTATACTTTGAAGATAAAACAAATCAAAGAGATGTGTGGGTTGGGGAGGCTGGTGGTGGTGGTGATAGTTGTTAAGGGAATAAGTATAAATTGGAACTATTTATAAAACAATGAAAAGTTTCTTTGGAAAATTGTTGAGAACGTTCATCGATGAAAAGAGGGTTCGCTTACTCATCCAATCTATCCATCCATCCATCCATTCATCCATCGTTCAATTTATCTTAACATTTTTCACGTCTCTTCAAAATAACGCAACTACTATTCGCATTAATCAACGAAATAAAATGCCAACCGAGTGAAATAAAATACCGACCTATAAATCTACCTTTTCTTTCTTTCTTTCCTTCCTTCCTTCCTTCCTTCCTTCGGAGAATATTTTTCCTTTTCATTTATACTACCATTTTCCATCTTATTTAATCGTTAACGTTGAAGAAAAGAATTCGAGTACCTGTTAGGTAGGATAAAAAAAAAAGAGATAGAAAAAAAAAAAAGAAATGAAAAATCCGCGTTATGCGAAGCCTCCAACTATAAACCCTCCACCCCCACCCCCACCCTTACCCCAACCCAACGTTTCGCGAGTTTATAAGTGAAACGTTGAAATTTCACACTCGTCGGGAATCTCGGTCGGTTTTCGCGTTAAAATTACTGGCTCGTTCGGTGTCTGTATTACGTCACGCTAACGAAACACTATCCCCCTGGGGGTGGGGGTGGGGGTGGGGTTGAGTTGGGAATGATGTACCTGAGGGATGATGTGAACGAAACGGTATCGAGTTGCGTGACTTCCACCCCTCGATGAAAAATATCGCTCGGTTTCATTAGGAACTTTTTATCGAGAAAGCGATTCTTTAAACGCCCACATCCACCCCCTTCCCTTCCCCCCACTTCTCCCTAACGTTCCACGCAGCTCTTGTTTTTCATAAGGAAAAAAAAGAAAAAAAGAAGAAGAAGTTTCAAGACGAGATGAAAGTCATTTCTTAAAGGAAAAAGAGAAGAAAAAAAAACCTACAAAGAAGAAGAAAGAAATAATTAAAAAGTGTTTTAAATAAAAAATGAAATATTAAATAATACATTATATAATTAATAATGAATTATTAGACTTTTGTTGTCGTCGATTGACGATAAATTAATTTTCTTCTCGTTGAAATGTCATTCTATTTAGTATTTTAATTTCTTTTTGTTTTTGTTTTTGGTTACACGATTGAACAATGGTTAACGATCGATCATAGCATTGTAATTTCACTTTGTCTTGTTTCAGGACGACAGCAGGAGAAAAATTTGGATATATTCGGTTACTCGACCTTGGAACATCATCGAATCGTTCGAGATGTATCGTTGGTGGATAACTACAATGACGGTGAGTGATCGAACGATCGAATTTTTGGGAATTCGTTATCGAAACCTCGAGGATATCTCTCGGGTATCGTTTGAAAACAAAAAAACCTTTCTATCTCTATCTCTATCTCTATCTCTATCTCTCTTTCACTCTGTCTCTCATTCTCACGTACACGCGATGTCAGCAAATCAGATTCGCGTGGTTGCACGTCACGCTTGCTGCTGCTGCTGCTACTACTGCCGGTAGGTTTTGTTGCGGGCCCGTTGTTATCGTTGTTGTTAAAAGCCGAAATAAATAACCAGACTATGGTAGTATTACTATGGGATGTGGGGGGGTAAAAATGTTTTCCGCGGGCAACGTTAATGACACTCGTGTATCTAAAGTCAGTGTGGAAGAGTCGTGAAACGGACCATTTCCTCGCTTCTCTTTTTACTCGTTTTATCTCCAAACTCGTCTCCACTTTCTTTGCTTTTTCCCCTCTCTTCTTAAAAATAACTCTCGCCGAGAGAGCTTTACTCAATCCCCAAATGCACGTGACGGAATTGTTGCAGGAATTTTGCAAAATAATATTATTCACTACTACAAGTGTGTGTGTGTGTGTGTGTGTACTTACTTACTTATGTAAAACGATTTGAAATTTTTTCCGTTCAATTTAATAATTGTTTCTTTTCTTTTCTTTTTCTTTTTCTTTTTTTTTTTTTAAATACCAGCTTAATATATTTTATCTTTAATTACAATATTATATCATACTTAAACTTGTATAATAATAATAATAATAATAATAATAAATTAATTAAATGTTTAATAAGAAGTAGAATGCATCGGTAGTAATAATAATAAAAAAAAAAGAACTTTTTACTTATATTTTTTCTCGTCTGAAAATAAATCTCCTAACGTTATCTCATCGGAGTAAAGTATCCATCGAAGGAATCCATTAAAAAGAAAAAAAAAAAAAAAAAAAAAAAAGGAAAAAAAAATTAGAGAGAAAATAAAGAATATTTTTATCATCGGTAGGATTTTCATAATTGAAAAAAATCGATATAAAGTTGGAAAACGTATACGTATAACTAGAGAACCCGGGCGTTTGTTTTATCGTGCGATCATGAAAACTCTCTCATCGATTTGTTAGCATCCATTAGACTATACGAACGATGGACGAGACCACGCGCGCTCACAGCTATTTGGATTACGACTTTTTAGACCTTTCACACTCCTATAACTTGAAATTTAACGATCAGATTTACGATGACATTTACGAGGTCAGTGCACGAAGCGCTTGCGGAGACCGCTTTAATCGCATTTCGTCCATAATCTGTCTGCTGATTCGTTACGGTAGATAACCATAATTAAGTTATACTTAATCGCACTCAATGTCAAGAAAATGAAATTAAATAGAATTTTTCGAATTTTCACTCATGTTTCTCTGTCTCTATTTCTCTTTCTACCATTCTGTCTCTGTTCAAACATTGATCCGATTAAACTCATTTGTAATATTAACAGAATAGAATTTTCATTCGGCTAGTAAAAAAAAAAACAGAAAAAAAACGAAACAACTCGGAAGAAAATTTTGTATCGTTTGCTTTTACTAATAAATAAATAAATAACAATATATAATATTATAACATATCGAAGAGAGAAAGAGAGAATGTGTTAAATTAAATACTTGAAAAAGAAAAAAGGAAAGAAGTTGAAAGAAAATTAACACGTGCATATGGCAAAAAATAATATAATATATATAAAAAAAAAAGAAAAGAAAAACAAACAAACAAACAAATCAAGTAATTACAACACTCACACTGATATTCCTTTTCGTAATTTGTCGCGAGTTCGAGTAGAGTATTCCGCTTGACGAGGTTTATAGTAGCAAAGAAGAATTTGCTTGCAAACGTACAGAGAAGAAGTAGAAATGGAAAGGGATGATCAAGAGGGAAAAGGGCGAGTGAGAAATAAAGAGAGAGCGAGAGAGAGACGGAGTTTCGGCTTGCAATGATTCTCTAAGTGGCCTTCCTCTCCTTCCTTCCTCCTCCTCCTCCTCCTCCTCCACCAACCCTTACTTCCTATCTTCCTTTTTCCCTTACCCTTCCTTCAGCCCCTTTATTTGCCCGCTTTGTCGATCAATAACAGCCGCCAGCTCCGTGATTCCAAAGCTTTTCAATGCTGGTGGAAATGGCAAAGCACCACCTATAAGGCTCTAACTACTAGCCCACGATTGCGTTCTCGACATTGTCAACATGATTCATTCCTTACGACATACAATACACGAGTTTATTCTTCATTCTCCTCTCCCCCACTCACTCCTCCTCAACACGATTCTTTCATACTAAACCCTCAATTCACTTCCGAAGACCTAACGTTTTCGCGGGATAACCACGCAAGCAAGCTTTCTTCTTTTTCTTTCATTCCTTATCTAGCTTTTCTTTTTTTACCACCCTCTTTCTTACATCCACCCCTCTAACATCCTCCCCCACCATCGATTCCAGGAAATCATCCATCCCATAGTATTTCTTCCGTCTACTTCTTCTTCTCCCTTTTTTCTTAATACTTACACGAGGATTCCTTTTTTTTTTTACCGACAACACCATTTCGTCTTTACTTATGTCCTTACAGATATCCCTCTTTCTTCACCCTCTTCCCCTTTGGTGGGCTAATCAGTGACATTGGTCCTGGGAATAATCCTACGATAGCACAGAGCTTTTTCTCCGAGAAAGGAAACGGGAAGACAATTTTCCTCGTATATTTCTGGCTCTTAAGCTCAACGTTTCGACGCTTTGCTTTCTTTACGATAATACCAAAGACCCAAGGTTATAGGGCGTGATTGCATCTCTTTTTTTTTGGAATTGTTTGTTAATGATCATTAATATTATATTCAATATATACTACTTTATATCAATAATTTTTTTCTTCTTACTATTAGGAGACTTCGGTTTCCTGTCATTTATTTAGTTATAAAAAGCTCTCTTTTTTTTTGGCATTTGTATTGATCTTATGATAGATTGATTGTCCAAAGCTTTCATGCAACCTTTTTCGAAGCTTCCAGGTGGTGGTCTTCGTTGTGTTCCTTTTTCTTTGCCGTGTCGTCATATTCGTCTAATCCGAAAATTCTATTTCTATTTTACTACTGATTTTAGGTTCATATTTTTATTGTTTTTTCACGAAGGGTAGTTTTTTATCCCTAGCCACACCCGCCCGAACCCTCTCCAACCTTTTTATCTAAGGTTTGGGACCAGCTCTAGATTAAAATTTTGACGTTAAGAAACGGCACACCTCGCGGTTTTCCTCAAATGCGGGTTTTTTGGGGGTCACCCATCCAAGTTCCAATCGTACTCGATCGACGAGCGCTGCTTGACTTGAAATGATCGAGCGTGAGCTCGTGCTGCCACCACGCTATAGCCGTTGATTAAATATAATCATTTTTTTACGAAATATTAATGATAAAGCATCTCTAATTGTATTTGAAATATTTATTTGCAATTCTTTTTGATTTTCTTTAAATGTATGTGGTATAATTTTATGGGAAAAATTTAGTGGATAATTAAATAGTTTTAAGGATAATCGAATGATGAATAATTGAATATTTACATAATCGTTTTCATCGGCGTTGCATTTCATTGAAATTTGTATTTTTTTTCTAGAACTCAAGTTTAATTTTATATAATATAATCGTAATATAATCGAGAAGAAAATTGAGTACTTAATTAAATGTGTTGTTAAAAAAATGTGTCAAGGATAATTAATAATATTTTGTTTACGATTCGCTTATACCAAGATTGCATTTCATTTAAATTTTGTCTTTTTGAATTAGAGTCAGTTTTAATTTGCAGAACTTTCGTAGAATGTCTTTTATATTATAATCAAAAAAAAGGAAATTAATTAATATTAAATTATAAGTAAATGTTTGTGTTAAAGAAAAATGAGTGATGAATAATATAATATTTAATGTTTCATTTGCGTCGAGGATTATATTTTATTTAAATTTGGTTTATCGAAAATAAGTCAATTTTTATTTCCGTAATCTTTTGAAATTGTTGTTTAATTAAGAAAAAATTGAGTAGTTGATTAAACGGTTTTAAGGACGAATGGGCGATGAATAATATAATATCTACGGTTCGTTTGCGACCTAATCACCCGGATCAGTTATGTTAACGATGCGTCGCGGTAACGCAGCTTGCGTTTATATAAGACAAGGATAATGATATTATTATAGTTCGAGGAATACCCTTTCCTTGTAGGAAAGTAATCCGAATTGTAATGGCACATTTCAAGTGATACGCCTAATTATATAATAAGTTCGTTCAAATAAATCTTACGTTTGTGATTAGTTTAAATAAAGGACAAAAAAAATATGTTAACGATCGAATCAAACATTTTTTTTCGTAAACAATTGTCACCTAGAAAAATATTATTAATTATGATATAAAAAAAAAAAAATACAAGTTTTATCGTATCTTGATCAATCGATTTGTATGTCTTTTTTTTCCCCCTCAAAAAAAATGATCCTTAAATCTTAATAAAAGAGACAGAATTACAACGAAATTGCTTGCACGTTCTCATGAATATTAATGAAATTTTCGAACAATACACCGAGGCGTTGATTAATATAGTCATCTATATATAATATTAAAAAATATCGATGAATAATAATTTAACGTACAATATAATTCAATACTAAAATAATGAAAGAAGAAAATTAACGAAAATAATACAAATAAATCCTATAAAAAATGAATCGTTATCGACGTACTTGCCGATCACAAAAAATATCGATGATTAATAATTTGTACAATTCCCAACTAAATAAAAAAAAATAAACGTATGTGAAAATAAAAATAACGTACACATTTACATATCAATCTAAACCTAATCGATGGTGTGGTGGGATTAAGGGGGGGGGTCATTGTAGAGAATGAAAGTTGCATTTAAACTGGGCTACTATACTATTCATTGAACGTAAATTAGGGAAGCGTTGAAAGTCAGGGACATGTGCAGGTAACGTGTTTCCAAGTGGCATTGACTGTATCACG